AGTAAATAGGTTTTATTAATAGCTGTTGGGTATTTGTATAAATGAAGTAGAAATTATTTCATACTTTTTAGTGCATTTCGAAGTCGGTTGTATTTTTTGTTAAAAATTATTTTATACTCTCTTTATTGCATCGATAATTACTCTTTGTACTTTATTTGCCATTGCACTTATTAATTCGTTTTGAATTGAATGAGATAAATAATGATGCCCTTTTATGACTGTTCTGTTTAAACGGTCATTTAGAACAGAATCAAATTTTGCAATTAACTGTATTAAACCCAAAAAATTACCATTGTGCGGTGTGTACAAAGTATCGGAACTTCCTCGGAAAGCTAAATTATGTTGCGCCAAATATAAAATAATTGCAGTTATTCTTTGGAAAAGTTGTTCGCATCGTGCCGTTTCAAGTTTTAAAAGTTTTTCAAACCCTTTATCAATTAGATTGCCAGTGAGAAAATTTTGTTCAGTCTGAAGCCACTTGTTTATAGCTTGTAAATGTATCGCAGATCGTTCGTGCATTTTGACTCGCTGTGTTAAATGAGACCAATCGCAAAATCCATTTGCCCCCAATGAAACATCAATTGTTGAAAATAATTTACAGGCGAAACAGTACACCTCATCTCTAGCAAAAATTAGCCATCTTTGTGCTTTCCTTTGCCCGTTCGCCAGTATTCTTGTAAAATATGTTGCAGAAAAACTCCTTTTATTTTCGTTCTTAGGGAAGTTAAATTGATTAACTTATACAGGAGCATGCTGAACTACTAAATTTATTGTTTGTTGTGTTCTTTCAATTGGCCGTATGCTAGGATCTTCAATGTCGAAATTCCTGTTTTCTTCTTTTTGTGCTTCAATTTCCATATCTTTAATGTCGTTTCCTCGATGAGTTTCACAATCGCTCGTTTTCCTATTGTTTTCATTTTCGTCCATTTCAGTTTCGTTGGTATCTTCTTGTTTTTCCTCCACGGGTGTATTCAACTGTTGCTTTCCTTCTTCCAAAGGGGTCTGATACATTGCCGAATGTTCTTCACCTTCGTTTGGATGTCTTGAATGACCAGTAGTTTCAATTACATATTTCATAATATTGTTTGTCTGCTGCTTAATATAACCGTCTCGCTGCTTCTTCCTTTTCAGTTTTTCAGCCCTATTTATGTATTTCCTTCCACGATCTCTATCTCTGCTAGCCATAACGGTTCGTAAAAAAACATATTTCTGTACATAAAAGTTTGTCTGTTACAAAAATGAATAAAACCGCATGCAAAAAAAAAAAAAACAATTACTGCAAGATAGGATAAACTACATATTTCATTAATTTGTATGTAGTTAAAACATTTCTATGTTATTGCTTACTTTATCGAAATTTTAACATTTGAGACGAAATTGATTTAATAATAACGAATTCAAATTCTCAACTAGTTATATGTATTAGATTTCATTTGTATCAGCGCCATACGTTTTTTCTGCGACGCAATTTCAGTTAGGGTTGATTTTAAGTTAAAAGAGTGTAACGACCCGCTAAGAAGACCCAGCACCTTTTTCCATTTCGTTTTTATTATTATAATTTATTTTTAGCACAAAATGGTTAATTTAATTTTTATGTTTAATAGAGTTTGTAAAAAAAAAAAATTAGTTTGATTTGTATTATATTTCTTATAATAAATAAATTTCATTTAATCGATAATATAGTCTGATTGAATAAGTCGATAAGCGATTAGTCGGTAAGTCGGTCGGTAAATAGATTATCGATAAATGATCGACAAACGAATGCATACGCGCCAGCGCAACCCCGATGATCTCGCGGTGGGGTGAGATTCTAGAGTAGGGTGATCGCGTAGATTAAGGAGCAGGGGTGCTCGGCCGTCACGTGATGGGGAATTCCAGAAATTCAGAGGAACCCTATAATAAAAAAAAACGCTAAGTCAGCAGAATCTGACTATAAATAGAGGCGTTCCACGCAGAGTCAGATCAGATCTTCCCTGGCTTCGGTCAGATGCAGACAATACTCTGGAAGTAGAGGAAAAGCTTGCGCTGAATTGCTTAGGCAACTATAGAGCGCGAGATTAGCTCTATCCTTCTCTTTCAGTAGCGACGTACGAGAGTTCGGATCTGTGGACACCCTACTCATGGTACGCAACGTGTTGAACACGTGCTAATACTAAGCCACACGTTCAAGTGTAAAGAGCTAGCGAGGAGCGGAGCTCCTTGAGCAGGCCTGTATTAGCATAGCTCTGGCTAGACCAGAAACCGATTGCGACCTGTAGGTATAGTCCGCTCGTGTCCGAAGGTATCATACAAGCTACTAGAATATAGTTTTCCAGTACTTAGTGTAACTTGGCAAATTGTACAGAGTATTGGCTGTATTCGAAGATCAAGTCGCGTTATTACTTACTAACCACTAATCATATATTTTCCACTGTATTTCATTATCTAGGGCGTACCTATTATAATTTCTTATTGTATTTCATATTATAGCCGTACCTATTGTTATACTTAATATTATACTTAGAGCAATTATAGTTAATTTACTTACTTGAATAAAAGATAATTTTAGTTTGATACATTAATGTTGGATTTCACTCCTTAACCGCACACCACACGAACCTATAATCCCTATTCTCATTCATACGAGTCGCCTTCTTGGGGAACCGCTCTCCCTATACGTCGGTGCAGTGACGTACCTATCACTGGGTCGTTACAAGAGGGAAAATAATTGAAAACAAATACTTACCAGAAATTAACAGTAGGTGAGAGATCAAAATGTATATGACACGGTTTATACCACAATATTACTTTCGAAAATATTCGTCATCTTAAATTCACCGAAACGTAACGATCAGAATCCTCGCCACGCGTCGAGAGATTAAGTAACGCCCAGCGTCGAAGACGATAGCAATGGGATAGCCCGATGCGTCTTTGTTTAAAACGTATGAATCGCAATTCAAGATTCAAACAACGAACCGCAAAACGTCAATTGAAACAGAACTACCAATAAATGTCAGGCATTGCTATGCCCTGGTGCTATGCAAGTTCGTAGGAGCTGCGACTCGTCGACAGACTTCCAAGAATTGGGCGGTCTCATCTCAATTTTTTTAAGAATATTTATTAAGACCACCACGACATAGGGCACGCCGAGGCGACGAGCGCGTTGTTGGCCAGTCGGTAGCCGATCGCTGTGGCGAATGGGTGGTGAAAAATAAAGACAATATTAACCTAGTATGTGTTACAGTTGATCCCGACACCCCACCATCCCAGAATCCCCACATTAGAATCGTTGTTGTGAGGGAACTATTGCGGTTGCGGAGCATTTAGTAAAGAAGTCAATAAAGAACAGTACACAGAGTTTTACCGAACCTGTCGCGGCGTATGACACTAACACATATTCACACCGGCATGCCAGCATCACAGTGGAACGAGTAAAGCAAATAACTGGACATGCCAATAACTTCGGAACTGCTTAGAATTTTGTTCTATAAAGCACACTTTTTATTCTTGTCAAGCAGAATAACTGAGATAAAAAATGACGCAATCCTTCAAGGCTATATACATCTAACCCTTTTTCACACATACTGTACAAAAATTATTAGGTGTATCTTGTAGTCACGGTTAATTATTAAATATAAAAACGTAAAAAATATATAAATTTAAAAACTAATTACCTATGCATCGATATCCATTGGAGTTTCCTCTGCTTCAACAGTTTCATCGATATCTGTTAGGATTAGGAGTTCCATTGCTTCAGGAATTAGCAGTTGTTTTATAGAATTTACTAATCGAGGTCGGAGAGATGAGATAAATGGGTCAGATGTTACTAGCAAATAGTGCAGGATATCTTCATTGGTGGATTGTCTATTACACTTTCTTGACTTGTATTCCCGGAATTTTCTAAATTCTTTATTACGAGCTTCCTGAGCTTCCTCTAATAACTGACCAATGGGAACTATTGCCTCTTCAATAATCTTTTCTCCGTGCATTAAAATCTTATGTACTGCTACGGGCATGTAGTACCAGGGATAAAATGTTACAAATAATTTAGCAGTTTCGTAAGAATAACGACCGAATTTTTTGACATTAGTTTTTTGTCCAGACGATATAACCTGAAGAATGACGGAATATCTGTGTATTATATTTTCATTTACTCCTGTTATTTGAGCTGTGATTTTCGAATTTTTGAAGAATCCTCGTGCGGTATTGCCGTCGTTAAAGGTTCCACCTCCTTGTTTAACCCGGTCTACAATTAACCCTAATTCGCAGCGAAATTTTGTTTGAACCAATAATTTTTTGTCTGCTTGTAGTTTTTTATATTCAGGTCTAGAAGCTGACCACTTTTTAAAATCAAGGTTATATGATAGGTGTAAGAGGCATTCAAAAAAACGAAGTTTGGCGTGTAAAGGGGATATTTCAAATTTATAGTATCTCTCGTTACATGAATTTTTATCAATTTGTGTCAAATCGTTCATACACTTTGGTGTTGCACCGCAAATGTAACATCTCATAGCGGAACTCGTTTCTGACAACACATTACAGATTTTTCCGTCTACCATTGTCATGACTAATTGGTGACTAATTTCAGTCGAATTAATGACTGTAGGAATTAACGACGATATTTCTTCGTTAATGCGTTCAACTTCTGTGTGAATGACCTCAGGTGTTTCTTTGCAAAATGTAAATTTTATAGGTCTACAGAAGGATGTGGAAGAAGCTGTTGGGTTGTGCCATAATATTTTTTCATTGCTTGGGTTGAATAATTTTATTGGAACTAACGTTGATACAAATATCGCAGAATCATCGTTATCTGCTTCACTTGAAAATCTTTGTTTGTACATGCTTTGGCTAGAAGCACCATCACATCCCCATTTTGAAATTAAAACTAATTTATTATTGTTATTACTATCGCTTCTATTATTGTTGTTGTTGTTGTTACTATTACTATCACTATTATTATTATTATTACTATTACTATTACTATCATTATTATCCCGGGGGCGGTAGTCCACCGCAACTCGGCGCGTCCCCAGGTGGCGGATAGGGGAACGGCCAGCAGATATGCTAGTTAGCTGCGAAATAAGGGCCTCACGTTGAGGTGACGAATAAGCAGTCGCGGACCAAATGGACTAGGGGAAGGAACCCCGAATAACAAATCAATCATGGTGTTTTGCACAGAGTTAAATTCAGTTACGGTGCAGGGGCTCGGAACCCCAGTACCGGCGCCTGGTTAGGGTGGGCGAACGAGCCCGCAGGCGTCGTTAACCGGCAACCGCAAAGCTGCAGTGGTGGACCACTTGGCCACTGCAGCCGCTCTGGCGACAAATGACAAAGACACGACGAGAGTTCCATTCTTTCCCGCCATTGGCTCTACGGGAGAGGAGAGCCTATTGAAGGAGGTCCAGGAGGCGGAGTATAAGATTGAGCGCTGTTTGAAGGAGATGAAAGCCCTCATCAGTGTCATGCTTGCCGCCATAAAGAAGCAGCCAAATGTCAACAAAGACATTAAGTCATCTCTTCCGAAGATGGAAGAGTTGCTTGACCTTCTCCATGAAGGCAGGCGCGCCAGTTCAGCCGGTCGTGAGAAACTGGTGAAAAAAATGGAGATTCGGTTGAAGAAGCCGGCAGTCACTTCGAAGCAGCACACTTCGTCAGCGGCTGCTAGTACCCCCAAGAGGCCGGCAACCAGCCCACCGCTGCTTGCTACTGGGAACAAGCAAAAGAAGAAGAAGCCGGACTCTGCGGAACTCGGATGGATCACGGTCCATTCCAGGAAGCGAAAGCAGGGGAGTACTCCCTCTTCCACTGCGGACGGGAAAGCGGTGGAGGTGGGGAAGAAGAAGAAAAGGAAACCTCAGGCAAGGAGGAAAGCAGAGGCAATCCTCCTCAAACCAAGTGGAGGCAAAACTTTTGCAGAGGTTCTTGGCACCATCCGCAAAAGTGTAAAGCCAGAGGATTGCGGAGCAGAAGTGCGGTCCATTCGCCGCACCAGAGCGGGCGAGCTGCTGCTGGAGCTACGGAACACGTCCCCCAACGCACGACTCGGGTTCATCGATGCCTTGAAGAAGGCAGTCCGCGAGGGCGGTGATGTCCGGGAATTGATTCCTAAAGACCGGATTGAGATTAGGGACATGGACAGTTGCACCACCAGAAGGAGGTAAGCAGCGGTGATGTGACCTACGTTAGCTGCTATTTTACCCCAAACGAGGCGATTGGGGACTTTCAAGCGAAGCTGGATGCACTGGAGGACACGATCCAGAGCATGGACAGGAGGATCATAGTGGCCGGCGACTTCAACGCTAAAGCCCTGGAATGGGGCATGGATTATCCAGATTCGAGGGGGAACCGGGTGATGGAAATAGTTTCCAGACGCGGCCTGATAGTTTTAAACACCGGCAATGCTACCACCTTCAGGAGACCGGGCTACAGACAGACCATCATTGACATCTCCTTGGCGACGGAAAATTTGGCGGGACAAGTAGTAGACTGGCACGTGATAGAAGATTTCACGGGCAGCGACCACCAATTTATTGTCTACCACGTGCACAGCGGCATAACGGCCTGCTCACAACCGAGGCAAAACCGCCCCACCAAATGGAATGTCGCCAAGATGGACCGAGACGCTCTCGCTGCAGCACTAAACGACGGACTGGGAGCATTGAACGAGATCCCCTTAGACCTGAGGCCACAAGACCGAGCGGAGAAGATAGCCGAAGCCACTATGAGCCTCATACAGAAGGCCTGCGCTCAGGCGGTCCCGAAGAAGCACCAGGAGACTAGTAGACGTCCTGCGTATTGGTGGACCCGTGAAATAGCGGAACAAAGGAGCAACTGTCTGAGACTCCGAAGGTTGGCGCAAAGAGCACGGAGGCGCGACGCAGATCTAGCCTAAAGGGCGGCTGAATATGCAGCGGCTAAGAAGGCGCTGCGTCGTGCCATCAGGGTAAGCCAGCGCTCGTGTTGGAACGCTCTGTGCGAGGATCTGAACAGCGATCCGTGGGGATTAGGCTACCGCATCGTCACCCGCAAACTCGGGGCTCACTCCGAACAGGGGCCGAGTGACCCAGCGACAGTAGACAACATCGTCGATAGTCTTTTCCCCACACACCCGAAGAGACCGGACACCCAGCACGACCCGAGTGTCCTGGAGGCGCCAGCCTTCACGGAGGAGGAGCTCATCACCGCCGCAGCCGCACTACGGAATGGGAAAGCACCGGGGCCTGATGGGCTCCCAGCCGAGGTCATCAAGGCCGTAGCGAGCAGTCACCCGCAGCCCTTGCTGAGGATGTACAACTCGTGCCTGAACGCGGGCGTTTTTTACTCCCGCTGGAAGGTCGCGAAGTTGGCACTCATTAGCAAGGGAAAAGGGTCACCAGACGCACCATCGTTCTACCGGTCCCTGTGTATGCTCGACACCGCAGGGAAGCTGATGGAGAAGCTGCTGAAACCACGTCCCTTGGCAGCCGTGGAAGCGGCTGGTGGCCTAGCCGATCGTCAGTTGGGCTTCCGATGAGGGAAATCCACCATTGGCGCCATCGTGAGAGTGGTTGAGGCGGCGAAGAGTACAGAGAGAGGCAATCATTTCTCACGTCCATTGTGCCTTTTAGTTACGCTTGACGTGAGAAATGCCTTCAATTCTGTGAGATGGATAGACGCTTTAGCTTCGCTGAAGAGGGACTTCAGGGTCCCAGAATACATTTACCGCATTCTGGAAAATTACCTGAACGACCGCTTCTTGGTCTACGATACGCAGGACGGCCCGAGGATGAAGGAGCTGACGGCTGAGGCGGCGCAAGGTTCCATACTAGGCCCCGACATATGGAACATTTTTTATGACGCGATCCTACGCATGGAGATGCCCGAAAGATGCACCCTCGTCGGGTACGCAGCGGCTATAATTATTGCCCGCACGGTCGAAGAGCTGCAGATGCGCCTCAACCAGGTAATACGCCGGGTGCGCTCCTGGATGGAGGAACATGGCCTGCAACTAGCAGCTACGAAGACGGAGCTGGTGCTGCTTACAAAGAAGCGTATCCCGACCCTGACTCCTATGCTGGTTGAGGAGGCAACGGTAGTGACCAAGGCCTCGGTTAAATATCTAGGGGTCACCTTAAGCCGAGTATCCACCTGTATCAAACGCCCATATCGTATCACTGTTGGCGGGATATTTCCGCAAGTTTATTCACAGGTTTGCTCAAAGAGTGGTTCCATTAACGAATCTATTAAAGAAAGATGTTCCTTGGGTGCTTGCGAGTTTGCGTGGTCAGAGCGGACAGAAAAGAAACACGAGCCTTGTGTAACACAAACTAATAGAATTTGCACAAACAGAAATATTTACAAGAAAAGAATATTTACAAGAGTTAATACAACAGTAAATAGAGTTTACACGAGAGTTTTCACACAATTTACACACACTGAGCGTAAGAATGAATAAATGAATAACTATATAAACTTAGAATAAAGCGTGGTCAAAACGATACAAATCACGGCTCGGACTGAAACTTCACGCGTTGCGTGTTCTGTACTGCGTACTTGAATGAACGGGTGCGTGAACGGAGAAGCACGTGTGCACGCGGTGATCGATCATCCAAGAAGAAAGAAATCGATCATGGCGTCGATCGTGATCGTGCCGGTTCCGGCGCGGAGAGGGGGCCGCGTGGACAAAGAGGGCCCGTGCGGTGCTGCTGCTGTCGGTAGCGACGCACCAACGAAGTATTTTCGTTGCCAACTTTGTCGTCCTGCGAGAATTTGGGGAATTTCGCCAACATTGGGTGTGGAGCGAAAGGGAATCTAAGGCGGTGTTGCGTGTGGATTTGGATATTTAGGGATTTTTGGGATGCAGCGATAGGTGGGTAAGGTACCCGTGGGGCACTAAAGCACCCTGCTCGCAAGGTGCGAAATGAGTTAAATAAAACCGTTATTCACTGTTGTTTGATACTGGTAGTTTCAACTATTTATTAAAATGTCCTGATTTATGTTTTATAAAATGCCTTTAATTTCAGTGTGAGAATAACTTGTCAAAGTCAAGCGACAAAATCATTCTGAACGTTCTACGCTTGGCGGAGGAGATCTTCGCGCGTCGTCGGTCGATTTCCCTTCCTTGATGGATCCTGGATCCTCCCTCAGGATCATCCCTCGTCCAATGGTGGAGGAGTCCACTCCGTCCTGCGTAGGCCCCTTCTCACTTGAATTCAAAACTTGAATGTTTCGCATTTCACAAAACCTTGGTATAGAAATTTCGACTTAGTCCGAAACCCGACTTTGGAACCCCATATCTCGGAAACCAAAAGCGCGCACAAAATGATATTCAAGGTAGTTACTGAGGAGGTCATGATCTATCAACGTACCAAGTTTGGTCACGATCGGATGAGTTTAGATTTCCCATGAAATCGAATTTTGACTAAGTCCAAAACCCAACTTTCGAACCTCATATCTCGGAAACCAAAAGCGTGCACCGAATAATATTCAAAGTGGTTACCGCGGAGGTCAAGGTCTATCGCCATACCAAGTTTGGTCACGATCCGATGAGTCTTCCCGGACGCGTCGGATATATTATAGCCTTTATCTGATTTTTTCGGGAAAAAATCAAGAGAAGAGCGAAAATAGGGAAAAACAAGACCTTGTACTTGCCAAAGGCAACTCTTGAGGAAATTTACGACCCTCTCAGAGCGCATGAATAGACAGGATATCGGAAAAGACTTCGTAACTTTTAAGGACCTTCGCGACTTGGTCGAAAACAACGAATTCGATATAGTCTATCATAAATTAATCTTTCAGGAATTTTAGAAGTGAAGCTATCCCATTCTCTGGATTTCCGGCCTTCTCTCAGCTCGATCACCCACGTCGAGGGGTTTACAATTTAGGCTTTGTCTATTTATATAAGTGTACATACGCGCAGATGGTGTTTGAATTTCGCTCTTGATTTATAACAATCGATACAAAAGGTCCTCGACTGATACTTGAGACATATCGATACTACAGACTATCGATAAATATTCCCATGACAGTGTCGCCCTACTACTCTAAACATATTCACGTGATACGTTTCACATTACAGCGGTAAAAGAGATATTAATTTTGAGAACTCGCGTCCAGGGATTTTTCTAGGGACTGTCAGTAAAGTTTTCGACGCTCGCATCACCTTAAGGAAATTTTGGTGGGTAGGCCAGTGTTAATGCTTTATGATCCGTCGCGTGAGACTGAAGTTCATACTGACGCTAGTGCATTAGGGCTGGGAGCCATATTGGAATAGAAGGACGGTAAGGCGAAACGAGTAGTTGCATATTACAGCCGAAAAACGTCTGCGGAAGAGCAGAAGTATTATTCGTATGATTTAGAAACGTTGGCGGTAGTGGTAGCATTAAAGGCGTTTAGGGTATATTTGATAGGTATTAAGTTAACTATAGTTACCGATCGATTGTAGCGCTGTCAGGGCGACTGCTAGTAAAAAGGATATTCAACCTCGAGTTGCTCGGTGGTGGGTGTATATGAAGGATTTTGATTTTGAAATAGTCTATCGTCCTGGTACTCAAGTGGATCATGTGGATTATTTGAGCCGCAATCCGATAGAATGTAATGTGATCGATATCACCGAAAGGGAGTGGGTTAGAGCGGCACAAATCCAGGATTCAGATATTGAAACCATACGGAAAATTCTCGAGTCAGGTAACATTCAGCTAGATACTAAACAATATTTTGATAAATATGTGCTGAAGGGTGGTATGGTATTCCGTAAAACCGATAAAGAAAACAAGTGGTTGGTACCACGAATGTCCCGATTCAATGTGGTAAAATTATGTCATGACGATCAAGGCCATTTTGCTCTGGAAAAGACATTGGAAAAGATAAAGGAAAATTACTGGTTTAGGGGAATGAGAAAATTTGTTTCAAAGTACGTCAATCGACACAGTGACCTAGTGGGAATTATTTGCTTTCAGCGTAGCAAGTTAATTTAGAAACAAATGGGTAAGTTTCATTTAAATTGTTTTCAAATTTTGCATCATTAGCGTAGCCTCCAATTCAAACGTTTATTAATTATACCACTTCAAACATTTTTATTTGTTGTTTAGAATCCTTAGAATTTCCTTTTTTACATTATGACAGGCGATAAGAGATTAGGTTCCGTATTCATTCTAAACTTCTACCAGTTCAGTTTTTTTATTGTGCTATGCCAACGGGGTGC